CCCCAGGCTGTGGGAACCGCTGGGCGGTTCTGACCTCGCACCAGAAATAGCCCGGACCCCCCCTTCCTCCCCGCGCCCCCAGCCGGACCGCCCCCCGGGACCCCGGCCAAACCACAGCGTCCGGCCGTAAGGCCTTTCCCTTATTGCACAACCGCGGGAGGGAAGCCGGTGAACCTGGGGGTCCCAGACCATGGGACACAGGGGCTGAGTTCACCTGTCTGAGACTGGACCGCTCCTCACAGGCTGAGTCAGCGTCACATCCAGGGGGCCCTGGGGAAACAGGCAGGGCAGCCCTCAGGCTAAGAACCCTCCTCGCAGGATGCCAGTGCCTTCTGGCGCAGGACAGCGCTGCTCAGAGGATTGGGGAATCAAGGAGTGGGATGGTGACTGTGACTGAGCGAGCTGAAGCCACTGGGCTAGCCCCTTCCACCAGTCTCTACAGAACAGCCCAAGCTAAAAAGCCAAGACTCTCGCCTGATCTCTGTGATTCTTTAAAGAGGCAATCAGGTGTTGGGGTAGAGTAGAAAAAGCACTGGGCAGAGAGTCAGGAGACCTGGGTTCTAATACCGGCTAAACCGCTAACTCGGATCTACAAACTTGCTGAGGAACCCTGGCAAGCCCCTTCGAGTCTTTGGGCCTTAGGTTCCCCATCTGTGAAGAGGCAGAGGTGGATGAAGTTCCTTCTTGCTCTGGCAGAGTCGGAGTCACCCCCTCCTCCTCATTTCCCTTGATTGGCTGGCGGGCGTTCAGGCTGGCAGGCAGGCGGTAGGCACGGAGGTGAATGAAGGGAAGAGGGACCCTTTCGGTACAGGGCTTTCTCCAAGAGCTTCTTATACCCTCCCACAGGGACCCCTGAAACTCAGTAGGAAGTAAAGACCCTGTCCTTTTGCTGGGGCTCAGGCCAGGCTGAAGAATACTCTCCATGGGAGGTACAGTCCAGGATTCTGCCCTCCCCCTACCACACTCCCTGTGCCCTGGGACTTCTACTGTAGACTGGGGTCTAAGAAAGGCCTAAAACCCTACCAGGAGCCAGGTCAGGCGGGAACTGTGCCACGGTCCCATTGCATCCAGGCAGCTAAAGTCAGGAGGGGGAGGTGGGGGAAGGGGGCCAGGGACACCTGTCCCCAGGCTCCAAGGAGGGGGGCGGTGGTGGAGGTGGAGCATGAGGGAGGCAATGGCAGTGGTTCACAAAGCCGACCCTGCTCTGGCTGGAACCTTGGGGACGCCTGGGTCCTGTGCCTTCGGGGGCGCAGATCCTCTTCTGGAAGGTCTGAGAGGGGCTCTCAGCCACACCACCATAAGGGCAGGTGCTGACCCCTCTCTTAGACCAACTCCCCTAATCGCAGTCCCCTGATTCCCTCCCTCCCCGCCCCTCCTCTATATTTATCCGCCCTCCGCCTCCGCCAGGTGCTGGCGCCGGCCCCAGCGGCGCAGCCCGCCCCACCCGGGCACTGAGCCACCGGGCCTGCTGGGGACCCCTGAGCGGGGGAAGGGAGCCTGACCCAGGCCACAGCACACGGGAGTCTGGTTGCCCGAAGTTTGCTTGCTGGCGTGCAGGGGCATCAGAGAGGGGACGTCAGGGGATGATGGTCTCTCACACCAATAGAGCCTCAGTTTCGCCACGGGGAGATTCGACAAAACCCAGGAGCCGAATGTCCCTCACCATTCCCTCAGGGATTCCCCAGGAGCCTCACCAGGGAGGCCCTGAGTGTCAGGATAATGATGAGGGGTCCTCGGAGAGTTGTGGCCCCCAGCTCCCTCTCCATGGGGTCCCCGCCACGGACCCCAGTCTGAGGATGCCTGCTTCCCCTTGCCCAGGTCCCCGCGGCGGGAACTCCCGCATCTGGCCCCAGCGCTCAGTGCTCATGAATTGGAAGCGGAGCGGACCCAGGTGTCCGAGCCGCCCAGCCGGCCTCGCCACATTCCTCGGCGCTGGCGGAGGCGGAAGGAGACAGGATGGGACGCGGGCCCAGCGGGGAAGGGAGAGGCTGGGCCAGGTCGGGCCAGGCGTGACGCCTCTCCTGCCTCAGGGCCCCCAGCAGGTGGACAGCGCCCAGCGTGCTGCGCAAGGCCCACAGGCACATCCCGAGGCGGGCTGCTGCTTGAGCTCTAGGGGGCTTCTGGCCCCCAGGCAAAAACGTCTCCCGAGTCCCCAGTCCGCAAGAGCACGGCGTTTGGCTCGAGTCTGGAGCAGGATCAGGCGTGACGGCCGGTTGTAGTGAGAGGGATTGAGACAAGGCTTCAAACCCCCCGGGACTTACCCTCCCGCCGCCCGCTGGACTCGGGGTCCGTAGCTCAAAGGTCTCCTCGTCCTCGTCTTCGTCCCCGTCCCCGCTAAGCTCGCCGTCCCCGTAGTCCCGGTGCAGAAGAGTAAAGCCTCGACGGCAGCAGAGGAGCCACCACAATCCCCCGGGGAGAGGCATCCGGGCGAGCAGCCGGGGGATTGGGGTGCGGGCAGCCGGGGCCGAGCTGCAGGGGGTCGGAGAAACTGGCGGGGCTCCGACCCGAGCCGGGGGAAAGATGAGGAGGGAGGAGGGAAAGGGAGAGGGGGACTGGGAGGAGGCGGTGTCTGGCTCTGGGGTGCAAGGGGTCGCTTGCTAGAGCCTGCGGGGGGCTCAGAGTCTGAG